CACATTACAGCAGTAAGGAGTTGCAGGGCTCCCCTCCCACCTTGCCATAATGAAAGGGAAGGGGGCTGAGGACCCACATGCTAAAAGATTTCCTGCCCCCAATCAGGCCATTCCTGCATGGTTCACACTGCGTACTAGTCCCCACTGTGGATTATAGGTTAGGGGGATAATATGGGAGAGCCTCATTGTCCAGCAGGGCTGGGGGTATAATGTGGTTGAAAGGCTCCCCCAGCATGAGGGGAAGGGCGCATAGAACCCAGGAGTCCTGGCTCCCAGCCCCCCTGCTCTAACCACTAGGGTGACCATATTTTCCCAAAGGGAAAACAGGACACCCCACAGGGCCAGCCGTGTGTGAAGCCAGTCTGAGCCCTCCCTGTCGCCTGCCCCCTGGGTCCACCCGAGACACCCACACACACATCTCTACAGTGCATGAGGCCAGCCTGAGGATGCCCTCCCGTACACGGGGCCGGCCCAAGCTGCTCTCTGGAGCAGGTCTGGCGTGGCCGCTATCCCGCTTCCCGCATATTCCTCCACAGCCCGCACAGCATTGCATCCCACGTTTTTGGCAAAACTGTGTTTGTCCAGTTTGCTCTTGCCAGCTGATGATCATTTGGGAAGAGCAAATGGGACAAATGCACCGTTTTGCCAAAAAGTCGGGATGGCTGGGGCAGGACTTAAAAACGGGACTGTCCACAAAATGGGACATACGGTCACCCTAACTAGACCCCTTCTTCTCTCTGAGCTGGTATGGAACCCAGGAGTCCTGATTCCCAGGCCTGCTGCACCCCAACCCCCTTTGTGGCAGCAAAGACTCATGGGGGGCCAGCCCATACTTTCTAGGACGAGGCTGATGGGGGGAAGGGGTGGCAACAGCGCTCCCTGGGGATCTGGTCCGCTCCCGACTGCTTCGCTTCCGCCGGCCTTGCAGGCTGGAACCCCATAGTTCCGGAACCAAACCTCCTGACTCTTGTTTCCCCCAGTGCAACATGCCTACAGGATTACCGGAAGTGGTTCCTCCCGGACGGATTAAAGAGCACTCCAAAAATAGCGGCGCCCTGTGGCCATTTCCCCCTCCCCTTCCGCTTTCCCCCGCCGTGAGGAGCTTCTCAGTACAGCGCCTAAAGCAGCCTCGTTTCGGGGGCATCCGGGCGCGAGGACAGTCCCACCCTCCGGAGCGGCGCGCGACCATGTGGAGGCGACTCGCGCGCCCTTTTCGCGCGCTGCCAAAGGTTCCCGGAGGTCAGAAGGTCGCCAAGCGAACGCCCTTTCCAGCCCCTATGAGCCGGGGATGGTCCCCCGTTGGGCGCTGCCGGGGTGTTGTCCGCCCAATGCGGGGCTCTCCTTGGGCTAGTGTCCCTCGCCGGCCACCGTTGCGGGGAGGGCTAGCTCAGTGGTTTGAGCATTGGCCTGCTAAACCCCGGGTTGTGAGTTCAATCCTTGAGGGGGCCATTTAGGGATCTGGGGCAAAAATTGGGGATTGGTCCTGCTTTGAGCAGGGGGTTGGACTAGATGACCTCCTGAGGTCCCTTCCAACCCTGAGATTCTATGATCCGTTCCGTTGGACGGCCCCCTTCGCAGGGGGCTGGGAGCTGGACTCCTGGGTTCTAGTCCAGTTCTGGGTGAGGGGGCCAGTGGAGGTCCTATCCCAGGCTGCCATGCCTCCCTCTCCCCGTCTGCAAATCGGGGAGCGTGCCGCTTCGCCTGCTCTCAGGAGGGTTGTGCGCTCCCCAGCGAACGGCGCCCTGTCAAGGCCGCCGGTTGCAGCTTCGCTCTGTGCCTGGGGTCTAGGTCGTGTTCTGGTGGTGGCTGGTTAACGGCGACTGTCTCAGCTCTGCCTCCTGCTGGTGCTTTTATTAAAGGACCAAAGATCTGTGTAAGGTCTCTCTACATCTCCTCTCTCTTATTTTCTAGATCCTTTTTGTGCCAGAGTCCTCAGTGCTGGCCTGAAGAGCTATGTGCTTCCCCAGGATTATACCAGTGAGTGCCAGGCATGGAGAAATGCCAAGACAGAAGGGCAGCGGGTGTCTTGTAATGTTGGATGCATTTGTCACCTCCCTTGGAAAAGTGTTGCGGGAAGATGTTGAGTGGGGGCTGGAGTGGTAGGTGAGGGGAGAGCATTATAGAAAGCATATTAATGATTTTTGCGGTGTGGTGGGGTATTGACTAAGCACATCGTCACCATCTCTTGAGGGAGCATGGGTTAACCAGGATGCATATTATTGATCTCACTGTGAGGGGCGGAGGAAGCGTTTTGTCATCCTTGCTATCAGGGAGGATTTCAGAGTAGGAGTGTATCAATTTTTATTTTTTTAATAGCTTTGGAAAATATACCTAGTTGCATATCTCCCTTGTCAGGAGAACACACCATTTGCTCTAGGTTGTCCTATTTCTTTTTTTAACACCTAGGGAGAGGGGTCATGTACCATTTTCTAAAGGCTAATGCATTTGGGTTTTGGACCAGTGTGGGAAGCAGACAGAATCTAGGGGCTTTGAGCTAACTAGCCCTTTGCCTTGCCTCACCCTGCTGTCTAAATGCCTCCCACATATTTGTATTTCTCTCTTGATTCCAGGCAAGACTGAGTAGTAATAATTTTTGCCAGCTGCTCTTCATCCAAGTGCTGATTTTGGCTTGATATTGAGATTGAAGGGAAGCTCTGCTGCTTATGTTTGATGTAAAGAAGCAGTAAAGCTGGTACTTAGGCCTGTCTACACCTAAAATTTAGGTTGACCTAGCTACATCACTTAGGGCTGAGAAATTTCCACACAGTTAGGTCAACCTAACCCCCACTGCAGAAGAGGAGAGAAGACACAACCACCACAACCCATGGACCTTTGAGTGCATCATCACCTCAACCTAGCTATCATCCCTTGGAGGGGTGGACTACCTACATCAACAGAAAACCCTTCTGTAGCTGTGCAGCTGCTGTAGAGTAGTCATACCCTTAAGTCTGTATTGTCTCACCAGCCTCTCCCACCGCTATCATGTAGATGATAGATAAAATGGAGGAGAGGAATGGAGTCTTGTGGGACTGTGTAGATGAGGGCTTTGAGGTGGAGGAACAGTAATCCATAACCACCCTCTGGGTTTGGTATGAGAGGACAGACCTTTGCCATTTTAGGATGGCTTGTTCATCCCTTCAGCTTCAAGGGGGTGGGATGGGAATATTTGGGGATAAATAGCAGGAGGCCCCTATCATTCTCAGTCAGCTGCCCTAAAAGGAAGCATTAATGACCGAGAGAATTGATAGTATTATTACTAGTGTCAAGAAGTAGTTTCTTAAGCAGGGGACTAACCCAAGCTGCCTTCTTGCCTATCCTTAGAGAAATCAGCGTTCTGAGCCCATGTCTCCCTTTGCTTGATTTAACATACTAGTTATAAGATGCATAGGCTCAGGTCCGTGGCCACACAGTTTCAGAAGCTCAGTGAGGAAAACTAGCTGATGTTCCCCTACTGATGGTTCCATATTTGCACCCTGTAGCCACAGATCTGTGCCCATCTGCCCCAGTGAGAGAGTGGGGGTGCCTGTGGGGCATACTGACACCTCTTTTTGTTCATTCTTCCAGACGTCTCCATCCCTGACAGACCCAAACTGAAGTTCATGGACAAAGTTCCAAGTGTACCTAAAGTGAGGCGGGAATTCAAAAACCTACGTGACATCCGTGGCCCATCCACTGAGGCCACTGAGTTCACCCAGGGACAGTATGGCATTTTGGTGAGTGGGAGAGGAGGGGAGATACAAATTGGGGTCACCTTTGGGGTGATTCAGCCAGAGCAAGGAAAACAACCCCAGGAGCTGACCTTTTCAGCTGAGGTAGCTGAGACCATTAGGACTTACTCCATCCAGGGTGAAGACATAAGCTAACTGAGGCCAAGAGAGAGCATGGAAGTGGTATGAGTGAGAACAACTGTAAATAGGTGGCAGAAAAAGCCCCTTCACCTGTATCTGAGTCATAACTCTTCCTGTGCTTGCTCTCTCTCTCTCTCTCTCCTTGCAGGCATTGGGTGGTGGTTACCTTCACTGGGGTCACTTTGAAATGATGCGCCTAACCATCAATCGTCACCTGGATCCCAAGATCATGTTTGCCGTGTGGCGCATCCCAGCCCCTTACAAGCCCATCACCCGCAAGAGCCTAGGCCAGCGCATGGGCGGGGGCAAAGGTGCCATCGACCACTATGTGACAGCAGTGAAATGTGGCCGCCTCATTTTGGAAGTGGGTGGGCACTGCGAGTTTGGGGAGGTGGAGCACTTCCTCACACAGGTGGCCAAGAAGCTGCCGTTCCCAGCCGAGGCAGTCAGCTGCCAGTCCCTGGAGGAGATGCGCCAGGCGGAAGAGGAGAGAAGATGCAAAAATCAGAACCCATGGACCTTTGAGCGTGTCATCACCTCCAACATGCTGGGGAGCCGCAAGGTGCTGAGCCCCTACGATCTGTCACAGAAGGGGCGCTACTGGGGCAAGTTCTTTCTGAAAGACAGAGTGTAATGACCAAGTAGGGGTAGGAGGGAAAAATATCAGGGACAGGTGCCTGGAAGGAGGATCAAGGTTCCTTCCTCAGCAGGTGTGAGGTCCCTCTTGAGTGCAGCCCATCTTGTAGTGATAGGCTCTCCAGGGCAGGCATTGCTGTGGAGATCTGCCCCTCAGCTCCAAAGGTGGCTGAGTTGTGTGCAGTAAACATGGAGGTGCAAGGGGCAGGTTGGGGTAACCAGTGATCATTTTGGATAAATAAAGCTTTCCTACAGTGGCATGGTCTTGTGCCTGTGCCTCCATGTCCTGTGTATGTTGGAGGCCAGAGGGGATGGTTAAGGGGCCGTCCAAGGAGTGTCAGATCCTCTGTGGGGTATTAAGTTAGAGCCTGTATTGCTGCACATCTGATCAAGTCAGGCAGATGGCCCTCTCATGCTGCATCATTGAAGTTCCTAAGGAAACTTGCCCCACCCAAAAACACTTCCTCCCAGATGACCCACCCACCCCACTACATACTGAATACACTATAGCAGTGGTCACTGAATTGAAGTCTTTATTCAGAAAGAGGCTTCTGTATAGATGATTGTGCCTTTAGAACAGTACCTATACAGATAACAGCTGATATAAATTCAGAGTGAGTGGTGTCTCCTTAAGCACTGAGTGAGGCAGAGTCCTCTGCTCCACTCACATCTGACACTGGAGGGGAACATGTCATTTGCCCTCTGTGTAACTGCAGAGGGATTATTAGATTTCATGGAGGTCTCTCTCTCTGAAGAGCCTTTCACTAGTGATTGCCTCATGTACAAGTAACATAGGGGAAAGCAACCTTAGAACTTTCCTCATATGGATAGACAAGGAAGGAGCCAAAGGAACAGAAGCATCAGGAGAGGTACAGAGTGACAGTGTCCAAGTTGCTCCTCCCTACTGCAGAAATGATTTATCGGAGGAGAGGGAAAAGAAATAAATACACTCAAGTTGCCACAGTTTGGGGGTTTAAAATAAGTGACAAACTTTCAGGTGAAAGATTTTTCTGTAGGGTAAATGAGACCATCCCACAGATAAACAAAGGAATACAGTCTATTTTGTGCCTAAGAGACCCTAGCTGAGGGAACAAAGGGCCTTACCGCCTTTTAAGTACCAGTGATTCAGGTCAAGCGTGGTCTGATTCCCACACTCAGAGCCAGAGAAATGGGGGGGGGTCACAAGGATCAGAGAGTGAAAAGAGTTATATTGCTCATCTGGGGAAAGATGTTCTGACAGTTCAGTGCCTGATCACACTTCTGAGGTACTGACAGTTACAATGTCAGATGCTGTCTTTAATCCCTGTCCACCAAGGAGGAGATTTGAGCCTCCCAGAGCAACATAGGCAGGACTATGCCATTCCCTGCCCTTCAGTAAGTTTGTGCTGAGCATACACATTCCATTGAATGGATGTCCTCTGCTGGCTAGTCAGTCTCCACCCACAAGTGGGCAGAAGGAGCCACTGGGACTGAGAACAGAGCTGAACTAAAAGGTTGATATTTAGAAGCACTTTAAACAGCCAATAAACATGGTGTCTGAAAATGTTTACATTAGTGTCAGCTAGCATCATCCCCATGGTGTCTTATTTGGTTCTGTCTGCAGCCCATCCTCCCTGTTCTATTCCGGCTTCCTCAGCCCCTCCAACCAGGAACACTGAACGGTGAACATCTGACAGGTAGGGTCCACTGGCCAGGCCTGTGATGTCTCCATAAAGAGGAGGAGGTAGAGCTGGTGAGAAATCCAGATGGGAAAGAACATTTGACGGGTGGCACCAGGGTGCGGAGTGGAAGAACGGTGAAAGGCCATCTGCAAATCCATCTGAAAAAATCAGAGCAAGAGACACCAAAAGGAGGAAGAATAGATGAATCTTGCAGTTCCATCTACCTGATGGTCCCCTTTTCAGTCAGTAACTACCAGCCCTCGTTCTTTTTGACATTGTCCCCTTGATCATCCCTTAGGCTTGGCAGTGATGTTCCTGAATTGCACTTCCTACACGCTCAACTTTTCTTTTTCTCCTCATAGGGTGAGAACTCCCCTGCTGCTCTCTGATCTGACCCAGCACCCTACTGTGCCTCTGATCAGTTGTGGCATGTCAGAGATACCTCAAGCATTAGATGCAGCGCTGCTGAATACAGCGGCTAGACACCTAGCAGGTTGCCAAGCTAGACCACTCTTTCCCCCATCCAGAATAAGGGTACAAAGCAATCACAGCACAGGGAACACAACCCACAAGTACAAATACTGACTGAACCAAACTCCAGCTCCCACCTTGCTGACCCATCACACTGCTACACCTGGCTCACCTGGGGTGGGCGGGGGGCAGGAGGTGGGCACTCAGGCGAAGATGCCCCCAATGGTGGAAGCCAGGATGATGGCCAGGATGATACAACAGATCATGATCATGATCTTCTTCTGCTCGGCGAGAGAGAGAAATGTAAACAAACAGCTTGTGCAGGGGGCTTACAGTGAACTATAAATGGAAGTGAGGGAAGAGGAGAGGGAAGGGTCACCCATCCTCCATGTGTCACAAAGAGCAGAGGAAGGGGGGTCCATTGCTTTGGGCTGGAAAAGAGGAAATGGATCCATGGGTAGTAGGACGGAGATGTGGAGGGAGGGAGTAGGGCTTTTCTTTCACAGAGGACAGAAAAATGTTTTATCCTTGGTGCTGGTGGCCTTGATGGGAAATGATCGCTTAATGAGCTCATTTCCCTTCCCCTCAACTCACGTGCCATGCAGAAGAAGCAAGCCCCAGCCACGTGTTCAGACGCTATCATTATGGGGGCCACGTGAATAGCTAGATAAATAAGAGCTAGCCTGCCCCACGCATACAGCCATGCAGAATGTCATGCCCCCAAGGAAAAATACAACACCCATTATCTCATCTTACCAGAGGCACTGGATACGGCACAGCAGCGGAGGAGAAACCCCAGCCAAGTTTTCTGATCCAGGTGGGTGAAGTGGAGAGGAGAGGCCCGTCTGAAGACTTGAAACAACAGGCCAGCCTGGGTGGGTGGGGTTCTCTCACCCTTTCACCTCCCCAAGGTTCATCAGCAGAGCCAGGTGGCATGGCGATTATAAACAAAGCTCCTTCCTTTGCAGCCAAACCTGGTCACTGCTGCTATTCTGAAAGAGGAGCTGTCTCTTTAAATGTCAGTGAGTCAAGTGAAAACAGTTCTCAGCCCAGCACCGGAGGCTCAAAGTCCCAGTCTCATCCCCAAGGGAGTGCTACTGTCGTGGGGCTATTTAATTCTACATGGTGCTATCACTGTATCTACTGCCTTTCCCCATCGGTTGCTTTACTCAGCCTTGACTCTTGTTGTGGGTTGGATAATTGGGGCAGGGCTAAGGACGAGCAGAGAGACAGATTCCAGCCAGGAGCATTCTGAACCGGTGTATCCCAATGTTTGCATGGAGCAGTCTCTTCAAGGCCGGGACTTGGCCCCTGTGCAGTGCATTGGGCAGCACAGGCTGCATTACTCAGGCTGGGAGCTGGTGAGCCAGAGAGAACCACAGCATCAGTTCGTGTCTGGCAGCCCTGCTAATAAAGTCTCCTTTACACTGGGAGGAGGGTGGCCTAGTGGCTAGAGCACTGGACTGGGACTCAGGAGCCCTAGGCTCTATTCCAGGCTCAGCCACTGGGTGACCTTGGGCAAGTCACTTCCCCTGTCCGTGCCTCAATTTCCCCATCTGTAAAATGTGGGTTGTGATACCGACCTCACTTTGAGACCTACGGAGGATCAGAGCTAGTTACAAGTTATTACTACCATTCATTTCAGCCAAGTCCGGTCTTTCTCTACCATGAGGGATGCAGGCCAAGGAGACAGCACCCCTGCCTCCCAGCCTTGAACCAATCAAGATGAGCTAGGGTAGCCATAGCTGGATGTTGTATTCAGGCAATGACAGCTCATGCAGGGAACAACACAACACAGGCGAGAGCTGTTTGTGATCAGAAATAAATTCATTTATTTACTTTTTTAAATTAAAAAAAAATCAAAGTTTAAAAACACACACGCGTGCATGCCAATACCCTCACTTGGTGAGACAATGACATTTCCCCTGTCCACAGAGCTCTGGGGAGTTTCAGGGGCATCTCGGAGCTGCAATGGCAACCTTGCCCGGGCAGCATGCTCCATACCCACCACCTAGAAAAATCACAGACATCAAGACCTAGAGAAGAGAAGACAAATGGGAACTTCCTCCCAGCTCCGTCTGTTCACCAAGGGGTCCTGGCCAAGTGCAGTCTTACATCAGGAGAGTGAGTCATGGGGCACCAAGCTGGTGAGTGGACCTGAGAGAGATATGCAGACCCTAGCTCAGCAGGAAGGACGGTGGGGGTGGAGGTGTGCGCCTGTACCAGCCAGATGCTGCTGGGCAAGGAGTTTGGCTCCCTTCACGGACAAGAATCCCCCATCCCAACTAACAAGGGCTGTCACCCCTTGGGGAGAGGACGTTTGTCAAGTGGATTTAGTACAGCCCTTGGGCCTCTGTTTATCCTCAGAGCAGGCACAGCATGGGTAGGTTTCCCCCACCGCTCTGCCCTGGGAAGACCACCACTGATTCAGTTCTTAGCTTCTCTCCTGAGGCTTCCAAGCAGGGAGCCCGACTGATGTGATGGCATTTCTGCAATCCAGAGATCTGTCCATTGGGAACGGGGCCCAAGACCCTAATCCTTGTTTCCCACTGAGGCCACCAAATGGCTGTCCTATAGCTACAGCTCTTGGCCATGCCCAACTCAGCTGGATCACACCCAAACCCACATCACACCAGTAAAAACAGGCCACCCTGATTTCTGTGACAGATGCAGACATTCAGGGACTGGCTGGTAAGAATAATAAATACACACAAGGACTCCTGATCCAGGCACATTTAAAACATCCATGAAAACGCAAGCCCTGAGTAAACAGACCATTAAACATACATGCAGAGACACACACACACACAAAAAAATTATATCCCCAGCAGTGGTGGGCAGCTGGTCCCACAACCAAAGGAGAACCCCCCAGCAAGGATCAGACAAGGTCAGTGCTAAGATTCACGGCCCAGGAGTCACTGATCACCATTTAACAGAATAACTTTAGGTCACTCAACCTAAAAGTTTCCAAGAGCCCCCGGCCATGCAAACCAAACACAGGGAGTATCAGAGCCTGGGCTTTCAGTTGGGTGCCAGAAGCCAACCTGATTATTTTTGCTGCTTAGAACAAACAAGTAGGTGGAAACTCCAATCCTAAAGGTTCACACTTCAAAGCAAACAGAGGTTTAGATTCCTCCCAGTCCTTAGCAAACAGGGATCACAGGAGACAGGGCTTGCAGGTCCCTCCTTCCGTACACAGGCACCTGCCTCTCAGGAAGGGATTAACAAGAGAAGTGCCCAGGTTCCACTGGGCTCTTCCTCTGCACAGAGCTCGGTGTGCTCATGCATCCCGGCGCTCTGCCGCAGACCCGCGTTTCAGTCCCAGCCCTGTCACCCGTCCCGCACAGTGCACTGAGGTCAGTGCCTGCATGTCCTGCTCTGCTTTGCTTCCACATCCCGTCCCTAATTCTGAGGTTGGCAAAGTTGAGGATGCTGCCAAGTCTGTGCCTGCTGGTTTGACTTATGTCCCTTGTTAATCCTGGTGTCAACATGGCTTGGGAGTGCTGCGGATTCCGGTGCTATAGGTTTAGTGCATTGCTACACAGGAGACTCAAGATCAGGCCCAGCTGCTCACTCTCCTTAGGGTTGGCAGGTCCTGGGAGCACTTCAGAGTCCAGCCTCAATTAGCATCCGATATGCCACATGGCCAACCCAGGTAAGCTCCTGAACCCTGATCTCTCACTCCCTGTCCTGGCTGGAGCAATTCAGAGGGGTAGTTCTTACATTCCCTGGCCTCCCTCAGTAAAGATTTTAAACAATTAAAAAAATTCCCCCTAAGAAAGATGAGAACAAGACAGGCCAGTGAGGTAGGAAACACAGTCCTGGACATTCCTTTAAGGCTCTGCTACCATTGGTGGGAATCCTGCCAGGAAACAAAATTTGACCAAAACAGGAAGTGACATCAGGAGGAGGAACTGGGGTTGGTGGTTGTGGACTTGGAGAGGAGGGGAGAAGAGGAAGACTTGATGACGGCTTCTCTCAAGTGCATCAGTGGTGCAGGAGACAGTTACCTCCTGGACATGGTGAAGCAAGCTCAGATCCTCCTGGAGGGATGCGTCAGCTAGCTGATGAATGGGCCGGCAGCTCTCCCAGGAAGTGCTATTGGGAAAAGCTCCACCCGAAAGGGAAATGATTCACAGCAGAGCCCAGAAGGCAGACTGTGATTAGCAGGTCCAGGGAAGGCAGGGGGAGCGGGAAGCCGGCGTGTGGGACACGAGGAGGATCACGAGGGAAAAAAGTTCACCACCAAGATCAGGAGTGTCTGGAGAAATTGAAGGAACAAGGGAGAAATCAATTCACGTATGTGAGGGCAGGCCAGCAGGGTAATATTAAACATAATCAGACATCTAAACACTAACAGATCCTGGGCCCAGACAGCTAGAGATGGGGAAACTATCTCTGCAGATGGGCCAATGATCCCACTGTGGGGCTCAGAAACAGCCAGCATATGCACGCATATCCTGCATGATGATGTCTCCAAAGGCACTACCTTGCTCCCCAGAGTCTCAGCTTTCATTTAAAATAAAAAGTGAGTCTCTAGCTGTTCTGCTTGTAAAAGAAATTGCAAAGCCATGACCCAAGTGTAAGTGAGCGGAGGGAGCCTGCAACAACTCACAGAAGTGTGAACTGCCCTGCTCGTGAGGGTCAATTAAATGGCTGTTTTGTTAGCTGTGTGAGTCATGGCTCATCGGAGAATGGGGAGGGAGGGTCACAGACTGGCACAGTTCCCTGATTTTGGTGTCACAGGTGGGTGGTGTTTGGTAAATGCCACATTTCCCTCCCCCCCGACAATTAGCCCAAGCACCTTGGTCAAGCCCGGGGGGACATTCAAACCTCCCACACCAGAAAGGGCCAAGCAGCATCACACCCCTATTTTGATTATCTGCACAATCTGAGGGGGGGGGGTCTGGTTTTGGTGACTCATAGGGGTGGAATCACCCCTCTCTTTGTCCCCCACAAGGCAAGGAATGGAGAGCAGACCAGAATTAACCCTTCAGATCCCTTTGTGCACAGCGGCCTACGCTGCACACTCTGAGTCTGCAGAGAGATGTGAGTGAGCCCTGTAAGAACAGCACATGCACCTGCTTTGCAGCAGACTCTAGCAGCTGCCTTCACTTGGGCCGCGTCCACAGAACTATCCTCCCCACTCTAGAATCTTGAGAAATCATGCCACCCGCTTCCCAAGTCATGCTCCCTACACCGTCTCCTCTTCTGCAAATACCTTCTCGCCTGCCACATCCTCAGTGCCAAGGCAAGAGTTAAAAATGTAAGAGATTGAATGCAAAGCTCAGCTGCAAAGCACAGAACCCAAAACTAGAGCCAAGAATCTACAGCCCAAAGCACAGAGCCCAGAGGCTAGAACCCAAAGTACACCACATAGTCTAGAACCCGAAGCCAGAACCAAAAGCACAGAAGCCAGTCTAGAACCCAAAACCATAACCAAGAGCTCACAGCACAGAACCCACATAGCCCAGAACACAAAGCACAGTGTATAGAGTCTAGAACCCAAACCCAGCAGCAAGAACCTAGAACACAGAACCCAACATACAAACAAGGTTGTGAATACAACACTCAGGATAGATCCAACTGACAAGTGAGAATACATTTTATTTCTGGCCCAATGCAGGGTTGATCTCCTGCGGTCTCCAGGTATGAGGAGCAAAACCCACCCGATATCCAAGGCACCCACCAATACACACCTAGCTCAGAGAGCTTCTGAACTCTCCTGGGCAAGCAAGCAAGTTCAAGTCACTCCACCACCTTTGCTCAACTGCCGCCCCACCGAGCCAGCGCCCCAGGAAACCCCCACATTCCCCACACTACTTACAGTTCAGGGGGCTAGCTTTACTTGAGCCCTACGGAAAGTCCAATAATCAGAGCTACTATTCCGAGCAAGACAACCACTACCACAATGATAATTATCATTTTCTGGAGAAGGGGACAAAAAAAGGATAAACCATAAACAGCAACGCAACAGCAAATAAGAAACAACAGATATCATAGAATCATAGAATATCAGGGTTGGAAGGGACCCCAGAAGGTCATCTAGTCCAACCCCCTGCTCAAAGCAGGACCAATTCCCAGTTAAATCATCCCAGCCAGGGCTTTGTCAAGCCTGACCTTAAAAACCTCTAAGGAAGGAGATTCTACCACCTCCCTAGGTAACGCATTCCAGATATGGCTCCCCCTACACATGTCCCTTTAAGAGAGAGTTATTTCAGAACTGCAGAGCACTGATTTCAGCCACCCCTTTAAGGCAGCATAGCTATTTTTTTTTTAACACCTCAAAAATATTCCCCACCAGAATCTTTCAGACAAAAATCAGACCATCCGCATTTCTAGGCTTCTGGATTTTTGTCCCCCTCTTAATTTAATCCAGTCCCAGCCTTCTCCAGCAAGGGATGCTGCAGGGAATGGCATAAAGGCACTGGGAGCACACAGCTACTCCAATCCTAGCCTCCCTCGATTGGGGGTACTATTGGGAATGATGAGCAGAGAGGTACTCCCAGCCACTCCCAGCAGGGGGTGCTGTAGATAGGCAGGAGCACTGGCTGTGGGGGAGCTCCCTGCTACTCCAGTCCCAGCCTCTCCCAGCAGGGGGGCTCAAGTTACTCCAGCACTGACTCCTGCCAGTAGGGGGTGCTATAGGTAATGGTGTAGAGGTGTGGGCTATGGGGAAGTTCCCAGCCTCCCCCACTTGGAGGAACTTTAGGGAACAGAGCAGGAGCTCTGAGGACCGAGCCTGGCTCATAACCGCATTTATCAAGACACACAGAGAAGAAGGAAGGGCCAGGGAGGAGTCCGGAGCGAGCAAAGTGAAGCAGGGAGACAGCCCAAGCAGTTACCTCAGAGAGGGATGTAGCATAGCACGTCGTACATGGAGAGGCTCAGTGGCTGGGCTGTGGGGAGAAGTGGGGGAGGAGGAGGAGAAGGCTGTGAAAGAAGAGCACAGGAAGCTGGAGCAAGGGATGGGGAAATATTACTGAGAAACTAAGGGGTCACCAGGGCCCCTGGATTTGCTCTGGATCTTTACCAGCCAGACCCATTGGCCCAGGTGCTCAAAAAAGTATTCAGGTGGCTTACTCACCTGGAAATCATAATACCTTTGAGAGCCATTGGTCCTTTCCCAATAGGGAGGGGGCTGGAACAGGGACGGGGTGGAGGGATGGAGATCAGCGAGGTCAGACAAGGGTGGGATGGAGGAGGATAACTGGAGGAGACTGAAGATTTGGGGAGAAGGGGGGTGAGGTCTGAAGGGGTGGAATGGGAAAAGGACTTTGACTGGTGAGTGGGGGCTGGATGCAGTGGGGCTTTGGTTGATGGGATGGGTCATGGTTGGATGGGTGACAGAAGAGTGAGATGGGAACCTTTGACTGGCATGCATGGGGACTGGACAGGGAGCTGTGGTTGGTGGTGTTGAGGTGATGGGGTGGGGCTTTGGTTTGTGGGATGGGTCATGATTGGATGGATCTGAGAAGGGCAAGATGGGGGCTTTGACTGGTGAGTGAAGGTTGGATGGGGGACTGTGACTGGTGGGATGGGAGACTAGATGGGGTGGGGTTTTGGTTGGTGGGATGATTCAAGATTGGATGGCATCTGAGAAGGGTGAGACGGGGCCATTGATTGGCAGGAGATGGAGACGGGATGGGGTTGTGATTGGTCGTTCTCACCCTTCTGGCCTCGCTCTGGTATTTCACAGCCTTTTTGGTGTCAGCCACGGCCCGTTCCACAAAGCCCACCGACTGGTCCATGTTGGTCTCTATGCGGTCGATCATGGCTCCCTTGCGGAGGAAGAGAGAGATGGCGGGAGCGGCAGAGAGCGGCGGAAGTGGCAGGGAGGCAGAAGAGAGCAAGAGAGCCAGCGAGGGGGCCTGGGCACAGATTGGGGCTCGGGGGACTCACCTTGTGCGCCTTTTTCTTGTATACCAGAGCCTTTTTGGTCTCATCGCGCGCTCTCTCTACGTGGTCTACCGTATGCATCATGTTCAGCTCTATGTTATCTAGGACCCCACCCTGTCAGGGGAGCAGGAAGAGAGGAAACTCAGACATCTGAAAGACCCACTGACCTGGGGAACCTCAGAGAGTCACGCACGGTATATCTACACTGCACAGTTAGCCTGGGCTGACACCCAGGTTTAGCCCAACCCCTCCTACCAGCCATGCACAGAACTCTCAGACCTGGGTTTGGAGGTGTGTTAAGCCTGGGCTAGCTGACTCGGCTCGGGGAGGCACGTTAGAGCCCGGCTCTGGTTTAACTCAGGCTGCAACCTACCCCACTGGGCAGTGACGATGCCAGGAAAAAAAGTTACTCATGTGCTGATAGTCCTCCAATACCCTTCCCACAATGCCCCATGAAGGACAAACTACCTGGGAAAGAATCCTAGAGTGTCCCAGCACAAAGGCCCAGGGGTATGTCTCCAAGCACACAGAGGTAAGTACAGACACAGTGGGGACACACTAATTCGGTAAGGCTTTGCAGTGGGGATGCTCATGCAGGGGCTCAGACTGGGGTGCCAATCACTAGGGTTAACTGTGCAGTGAAGATACAATGCAGCCCCTCTGTGAGACCCCAGCATCACCTCCCACCATGAACATGCTCCTCCCATCATGAGATCCCAGCCCTGCCCTTGGAGGTCTCCCCCTCTGCTCAGGTGAACAAGGCAGTCATTCCCACCACCCCCACCCTTCTCCTGGGCACAGAAGGGTCGCCATTGGGTTGTAGGGCTTCAGGGTCAATCCACCGCCTCTCCCTGGGGCTGACGACAGGAAAGGGGCATACTCACCATTCCCCGACTCGCATGCCACCTCCTCGGCATTGCATTGTGGGTAGAAAACAGAAAGGGGGCCTCAGAGAGATTGACACTGATGCCTAAATTGCAGTGAGAGAGGTGGCTGCACTCCCCAATGCAGGGGTATCAGGAGAGTGAAATGGGGGGCTTTTCCCCAGGGACACACAGAGCAGGGAGTGGGCCCTGGCTGCAGGAGCTCTGTGGGGTCGGAGGAAAGCTAGGCACTGAGACAGGACAGCAGACCTCTGGGTCTCCATGACATCAGCCACGTCACCAAGATTACAAACTCACTCCCACCCAGCTCCTGCATCTGAGGTACCACCATCAGAAAATCCCTGGCTGCTAGAAGGCACCCGTGTTCAGTTGCTTAGTTACCCATTTCAATTCCCAGTCCCTCCATTTCCCCCATCCCTGCATTGCTTGGTTACATGGTTTTCACCCTGCCCAGTCTTGTACAATCCTTTTTTTTCCCCCCTACTCCCAGGTTACATGGTTATCATTCTGTCTCCTCCCATGGTTACTCAGTTACCAAGGCTTTCCTCGCTTCCCCTCCTGTTACACAGCTGTCACCTTCATCCCGGTTGCTCAGTTACCCTGTTCCCTGCCCCTGATTGCTTGGTTACCCTGTCCTTATCCCTTGAGGGCCCCACCCTTTAGTTGCTTGGTTACCCTGTTCCCTGCCCCAGGTTACATGGTTATTCTGTTCCCTGACCCTGGTTGCTAGGTTATCCCTTCCTGTCCCCCTTGCTCAGTCACTCAGTCCTTATTCCTCCAGAGCGCCCCACCCCCCTCATTGGTTGTTCTGCCCAGTTACCTGATTTTCCACCAGCATGGCGATGTCCACGAACATGTCGTGAAGCTCCTTGATGCTGCTCTCAAGCCGCACAATGTCCTTGTGCCGCCCCTCGATCTCGCTCAGCGCCTGCTTTGAGATCTGTGAATCCATGATCTGGAACAGAGCCGGGCAGGGTCAGTTACCACCCCGCACAAACCCAGGTAATGCTAAGGAGCTGTGAGCCAACACCCTGCCATTCCCACTGCTCAGAGTCACCCTGCTCCCCACCACCCATATCCTGACACCCACACTTGCCCATCCCCCCAAATTCCCACTGCTTACCCCCATCCCAGTGTCTCCCCCTAGATATCCCATCCTATAAGTGCTTTGAGACCTACTGATGAAGGTGCTGTGTAAGAGCTAGGTACTATTATACCATTGTATGCTCCAAGGTCCCTCCTCTTCATGCACCTCCATTCCCCCATCTCCTCCCAGTCCCCACTGCGTCCTCACCCCAGATGTGAATATTGAGGGGTTTCCACTCTCTAGCATCTCCTCCAGCTCCTCATCCGTCGTATTCTTCCCAGCTTTATCATGGGAGAAAGAGAGGAGAGATCAGACCAAATCCCTGGGCATGAATGGCGGAACTGGCAGGGCTTGCGTGGGGCGAAAAGATTCACTTTGGCTGCTCTCATTGACAGGTGTGTTTGTGTGAACCCCTCTAGCCTCCAAACGGAGATATGCCTTCCAAGCCCAGATTCGAAACCTCCCCCACATTCAGCAGACACACAGCTGGGAGGAATCCCACAGCTGCCCAGCCCCACACTTCCCAGCAGGGGACACTGAGACACCCCGGGTGGGAGGGCATCATGGGGAGGATTATGGTTAGGGCTCTCCCAAATTCATAATCCATTTTTGTAAATTTCACGGTCATCGCATTTTTTTAAATCTTGAATTTCTCAGTGTCAGATATTTAAATAAAAAATTTCAATGTTGTAACAAAACAAATATGTATTTAAAAACAGCAAAATATAAAAAGCCCATAATGACATCCCCTCCCAAAAAGTGATCAACGCTGCCCTCCCCCTTCCCCCCCACACACACCCTTACTTCTGCACTGCTGCTGGTTGCAGCACTGCCTTCAGAGCTGGTAGCCCAGCTGCTGCTCTCCGGCAATCCAGCTCTGAAGGCAGCACAGAAGTAAGGGTGGCAATACTGTGACCCCCCTACAAGAGTCTTGCACCCCCCTTTTGGGCCAGAACCCCCAGTTTGAGAAACACTGTATAGTATAGGAAAAAGTACACAAAAGATGAGATTTCACAGGGGAGACTAGATTTCATAGTCCATGATGCATCTTTCACAGCTGTGAATTTGCTAGGGCCCTAATTATGGTCTCTGCAGTAACTCAGGCGCACAAACTGGAGTGGGGTAGTTTCCATTCCTGTGGGCAATGAATCCAACCACCCCTTGGGCTGGGGAGGAGGGTCAGGCCCTGGCCACATGCTGCCTGTGGGCCATGTCCCCTGAGCAGGGAGGGTACATACTGATCTCGAGCTGCCGCTGGATCCGCCCTTTGCTACGTTCCCGGAAGTCGACCTGTGCCTCGTTGTACTTGGTCATCACATCAACAAACTTCCGGGAGAGGACAGAATGCTGGGGGGAATGAAAGGGGGAGACGAGCAGTTCACTGTATGATCTGTATTGTGGTAATGTGGGCTCACGGGCACTGCCTCTCCAGCTGGGATAGCTCTCCAAGCAGATGACTATCTGACCACAGCACAGCCTACCTGCTCTCCATACCCTCTCCTCCTTACCCTCCCCTTTCCCCAAACACAGCCTGGCTGGTTCCGACAGGAGCACCCATTGCAGCATTGTGAAAATGTGGTCATTTGCCTGTGCCTCAGTTTACCCATCTGTATGAAAGGAATAATAATGCTCTGGATAGTGCTTTTATAGCGCTTAAGGTCTGAAGGAATTATCTAGTTCAACCTGTATAACAGACCAGAAAATGAATCCTCCATGAAGCCCAGAACTTCTGGGTAAGCTAGAGCAGATTGTTTGGAAGAACATCTGGTCTTGACTTTGAACAACAGACTCCTAGAAGTGCAGGGCTGGAGAATTCATCTCAGCCCTAGATAAATTCATTCTAATGGTTAATTACCCTCCTAATACAGAATTAGGATCTTATTTCTGGTCTGAATTTGTGCAAAATCAACTTCCAGACATTGGATCTAGTTCTGCCTTTGTCTGTTGGACTGAGGAGCCCACCACTCAAAGATCCTCAGATGAAGCCAAAGATCCATGTACTGCACATTTTGTTCTCTGTAACGTATCATTTCTCACACAGGACTCCGGTACAGTCTGCCATCTCGGATGCTACCTTTGTCCCCTCCCACCAGGGCTCTCTATGGGTGCAGCCTGCTCCCTCTGGGACCCATTCATGGCTAGGGGCAGGTCAATACAGGGATCGCAGTGTGAGAACGAGGGAGTGCCCTGCTCACCTGGGATTTCCGTATCCGCAGATCCGCCGACGACTGGACCTCATCCTGCTCAATGCTCCGCTCCATGCCTGGGGACATGGGCAAGTGGGGTGAAATAATGGGGGGGCTGGAGCAGCTGTACAGTCTCATAGAATATCAGGGTTGAAAGGGACCTCAGCAGGTCATCTAGTCCAACCCCCTGCTCAAAGCAGGTCCAATCCCCAATTAAATCATGTCTCAGCCTCCCTACCCAAGGAGCTTTCAGTTCTCCTCTTCCTTTAAGAAAGGGGCTCAATCCCTTACTGCCCCCCACCCCTCCATAGCCAAGTCTGCAGGTTCGCCCTTCTCCACCCCCTTCCTATCCAGGCACTAGGAGCCACAGGATGCAGCCACGCCCACTCTGCATGGCACTCTGTCCCCACTAGTGGCGTCTGAGCCACTGGGGTTGATGAGCCTGCTACAGGCTGGACTACCAGAGGTGGGTCTCTTAATTCAAGCAGCAGAGACCTGTGCATTAAGGTCCAAAGGTCCCAGCAATCATCCCTACAGCCAGTGCCCCACTAGGGGGAGAAAAGCTCTTAGCAAGGAAGGGTCATTTCCAAGAAGCAATCCCAGCGGGGTACAGGGAAGAAAAGGCAGTCCTGAGGAGGTGGAAAGATGATGGGCAATGGATGGGTGCTGATGGGATGGTTGGCCCGAGGAAGGGCTCTACAGTAAAAGAAGGCTCCAAAACAGCCCGCCCAGGGTTGGGGGGAGAAATAAGTCTCTTACTCTTAAGCTTGTTTCGGATGCTGTTGGCTATTTTCTTGATCTCTGCCGTGAGCTGCTCCAGGTCGTCTTTCGTCTCTGCAAAAGCACAAGCAATGAAACCCAGTCAGCACTAGCTGACCAGTAAGGCCACCAGGAGAGCACCTGCTGCCCCACCACCACCACGGCTGAAATCCACCCTCCACCCCACAGCTGGACTGACCCATCCCAGGCAGGTGACCTGTTCATTCTTGTTCAGGCCCAGGAGAAAGCTCAGCCCTAGTCTACACTAGGACTTTAGGGCAAATTTAGCAGCGTTAAATCGATGTAAACCTGCACCCGTCCACACGATGAAGCCCTTTATTTCGACTTAAAGGGCTCTTAAAATCGATTTCCTTACTCCACCCCTGACAAGTGGATTAGCACTTAAATCGGCCTTGCCGGCTCGAATTTGGGGGACTGTGGACACAATTCGATGGTATTGGCCTCTGGGAGCTATCCCAGAGTGCTCCGTTGTGACCGCTCTGGACAGCACTCTCAGCTCAGATGCACTGGCCAGGTAGACAGGAAAAGAACAGCGAACGTTTGAATCTCATTTCCTGTTTGGCCAGCGTGGCAAACTGCAGGTGACCATGCAGAGCTCATCAGCAGAGGTGACCATGATGGAGTCCCAGAATCGCAAAAGAGCTCCAGCATGGACCAAACGGGAGGTACGGGATCTGATCGCTGTATGGGGAAAGGAATCCGTGCTATCAGAACTCCGTTCCAGTTTTCAAAATGCCAAAACCTTTGTCAAAATCTCCCAGGGCATGAAGGACAGAGGCCATAACAGGGACCCGAAGCAGTGCCATGTGAAACTTAAGGAGCAGAGGCAAGCCTACCAGAAAACCAGAGAGGCGAACAGCCGCTCTGGGTCAGAGCCCCAAACATGCCGCTTCTATGATGAGCTGCATGCCATTTTAGGGGGTTCAGCCACCACTACCCCAGCCATGTTGTTTGACTCCTTCAATGGAGATGGAGGCAACACAGAAGCAGGTTTTGGGGATGAAGAAGATGATGATGAGGTTGTAGATAGCTCACAGCAAGCAAGCGGAGAAACCGGTTTTCCCGACAGCCAGGAACTGTTTCTCACCCTGGACCTGGAGCCAGTACCCCCCGAACCCACCCAAGGCTGCTTCCTAGACCCGGCAGGTGGAGAAGGGACCTCCGGTGAGTGTACCTTTTAAAATACTATACATGGTTTAAAAGCAAGCATGTGAAAGGATTACTTTGCCCTGGCATTCACGGCTCTCCTGGATGTAGTCCTAAAGCCTTTGCAAAAGGTTTCTGGGGAGGGCAGCCTTATTGCGTCCTCCATGGTAGGACACTTTACCACTCCAGGCCAGTAACACGTACTTGGGAATCATTGTACAACATAGCATTGCAGTGTATGTTTGCTGGCGTTTAAACAACATCCGTTCTTTATCTCTCTGTGTTATCCTCAGGAGAGTGAGATATCATTCATGGTCACCTGGTTGAAATAGGGTGCTTTTCTTCAGGGGACATTCAGAGGAGCCCGTTCCTGCTGTGCTGTTTGCCTGTGGCTAAACAGAAATGTTCCCCGCTGTTAGCCACAGGGAGGGGGGAAGGTTGAGGGGGTAGCCACGCGGTGGGAGGAGGCAAAATGCGAACTTGTAACGAAAGCACATGTGCTATGTATGTAATGTTAACAGCAAGGTTTACCCTGAAAGAGTGTAGCGACTGTTTTATAAAATGTGTCTTTTTAAATACCGCTGTCCCTTTTTTTTCCTCCACCAGCTGCATGTGTTTCAATGATCACAGGATCTTCTCCTTCCCAGAGGCTAGTGAAGATTAGAAAGAAAAAAAAACGCACTCGTAATGAAATGTTCTCTGAGCTCATGCTGTCCTTCCACACTGCCAGAGCACAGACGAATGCGTGGAGGCAAATAATGTCAGAGTGCAGGAAAGCACAAAATGACCGGGAGGAGAGGTGGCGGGCTGAAGACAGGGCTGAAGCTCAAATGTGGCAGCAGCATGATGAGAGGAGGCAGGATTCAACGCTGAGGCTGCTGGAGGACCAAACCAGTATGCTCCAGTGTATGCTTGAGCTCCAGCAAAGGCAGCTGGAGCACAGACTGCCACTACAGCCCCTGTGTAACCAACCGCCCTCCTCCCCAAGTTCCATAGCCTCCACACCCAGATGCCCAAGAACGCGGTGGGGGGGCCACCGGCCAACCAGCCACTCCGCCACAGAGGATTGCCCAAAAAAAAAGAAGGCTGGCTTTCAATAAATTTTAAAGTTGTAAACTTTTAAAGTGCTCTGTGGCATTTTCCTCCCCTCCTCCACCACCCCTCCTGGGCTACCTTGGTAGTCATCCCCCTATTTATGTGATGAAAGAATAAAGAATGGATGAATGTGAAGCAACAATGACTTTATTGCCTCTGCAAGCAATGATTAAAGGGAGGAGGGGAGGATGGTTAGCTTGCAGGGAAGTAGAGTGAACCAAGGGGCGGGGGGTTTCATCAAGGAGAAACAAACAGAACTTTCACACCGTAGCCTGGCCAGTCATGAAACTGGTTTTCAAAGCTTCTCTGATGCGTACCGCGCCCTCCTGTGCTCTTCTAACCACCCTGGTGTCTGGCTGCGCGTAACCAGCAGCCAGGATATTTGCCTCACCTCCCACCCTGCCATAAACGTCTCCCCCTTACTCACACAGATATTGTGGAGCACACAGCAAGCAGTAATAACAATGGGAATATTGGTTTCACTGCGGTCTAAGTGAGTCAGTAAACTACGCCAGCGCGCCTTTAAACGTCCAAATGCACATTCTACCACCATTCTGCACTTGCTCAGCCTGTAGTTGAACAGCTCCTGACTACTGTCCAGGCTGCCTGTGTTCGGCTTCATGAGCCATGGCATTAAGGGGTAGGCTGGGTCCCCAAGGATACATATAGGCATTTCAACGTCCCCAACAGTTATTTTCTGGTCTGGGAATAAAGTCCCTTCCTGCAGCTTTTGAAACAGACCAGAGTTCCTGAAGATGCGAGCGTCATGTACCTTTCCCAGCCATCCCACGTTGATGTTGGTGAAACATCCCTTGTGATCCACCAGAGCTTGCAGCACTATTGAAAAGTACCCCTTGCGGTTTATGTACTCGCCGGCTTGGTGCTCCAGTGCCAAGAGAGGGATATGGGTTCTGTCTATGGCCCCAACACAGTTAGGGAATCCAATTGCAGCAAAGCCATCCACTATGAAGTGCACATTTCCCAGGGTCACTACCCTTGATATCAGCAGATCTTTGATTGCGTGGGCTACTTGCATCACAGCAGCTCCAACAGTAGATTTGCCCACTCCAAATTGATTCCCAACTGACCGGTAGCTGTCTGGCGTTGCAAGCTTCCACAGGGCTATCGCCACTCGCTTCTCAACTGTGAGGGCTGCTCTCATCTTGGTATTCATGCGCTTCAGGGCAGGGGAAAGCAAGTCACAAAGTTCCATGAAAGTGCCCCTACGCATGCGAAAGTTTCGCAGCCACTGTGAATCCTCCCAGACCTGCAACACTATGCGGTCCCACCAGTCTGTGCTTGTTTCCCGAGCCCAGAAACCTGCCCCATTAGCACCATGATGCATGCATTGGCAGGGTCCATGCTTTCAGAGAAATCTGTGTCCATGTCCTGATCACTTACGTGACCGCGCTGACATCGCCTCCTCGCCCGGTATTGCTTTGCCAGGTTCTGGTGCTGCATATACTGCTGGATAATGCGTGTGGTGTTTAATGTGCTCCTAATTGCCAAATTTGCCTCCTGGTATGCCGTCCCCACAGAAAAAAGGCGCGGAACGATTGTCTGCCGTTGCTCTGACGGAGGGAGGGGCGACTGACGACATGGCTTACAGGGTTGGCTTCAGGGAGCTAAAATCAACAAAGGGGGTGGCTTTACATCAAGGAGTATTTCAGGCAGGACTTCACGGAGGGTTCTAATAAGAAATGGTGCACCTAAGTTATTGTTCTTATTGGAACAATGAGGTTAGTCTGGCCTCTGATTGATACATGGCTAGATTTACCTTGCTGCACCTTCTCTGTGAGTGACTGCAGTGTGACCTAGAGGAATGAGGGGGGGGAAGCAAATGAGTACAAAACAAATCTGGTCTATTTCTTGTTTTGATCCACTCCATCTATCTTTTACATCTTTGGCTGGCAGCAGACGGTGCAGAAGGACTGCATGCCATCCACATCTCATGGCTGCCCGGCAGAAAATGATGCAATAGGACTGCTAGCAATCCGTATCGCCTGCCTGCTCACCATAAGACGGTTCAATAGGACTGACTGCAGGACTAAAGAGAATGACCTGGTCAAGTCACTCCAAATTTAGTCCCTGCGCCCATGTCTGCCCAGGCACTCCTGGCCGATGTGGCCAGGAGCACCTCGGTCATGACGAGGACGGCTACCAGTCATACTGTACCGTCTGCTGCTAGAAGGCAATGGGTTGCTGCTACTGTGTAGCAATGCCGTACCACGTCTGCCAGCACCCAGGAGACATAGGGTGACGGTTACCTGAGCGGGCTCCATGCTTGCCGTGGTATGGCGTCTGCACAGGTAACTCAGGAAAAAAGGCGCGAAACGATTGTCTGCCCTTGCTTTCATGGAGGGAGGGAGGGAACGGGAGCCTGACGATATGTACCCAGTACCACCCGCGACAATGTTTTAGCCCCATCAGGCATTGGGATCTCAACCCAGAATTCCAACGGGCAGCGGAGACTGCGGGAACTGTGGGATAGATACCCACAGTGCAACGCTCCGGAAGTCGACTCTAGCCTCGGTACTGTGGAAGCACTCCGCCGAGTTAATGCACTTAGAGCATTTTCTGTGAGGACACACACACTCGAATATATAAAACCGATTTCTAAAAAAACGACTTCTATAAATTCGACCTGATTTCGTCGTGTAGACATACCCTCAGACTTACTTTGCTCAGGGATGGGGGCGGACAGGATGATACTGTACAGCTTTTTCGCCCCCTCCACATTCTCTGCAATTTTCTCAATATTTTGTCGGGTTTCTTCAATCTAAACCACAAGAGGAGATCACTATTAGTTGTATTACAGTAGCACTGAACTGCTATTAAGGCCATAGGGTGCTAGGGGCTGTATAGACACATTTAGAGACAGTCCCTGCCCCAAACATCTCACAGTCTAAATAGGCAAGACAGACAAAGGATGGGAGGGGAAACGATTTGCCCAAGGTCACCAAGCCAGCCAGTGGCCGATCTGGGAGAAGCACCCAGATCTGTGCCCTATCCACTGAACCACAGTTGTTCACCAAAGGAGAGGGGATCTCTAGCCCCAAGAGCTCCCCAGGCAAAGGAGCTCTGCCAGCCCGCCTTGCTCCCTCCCCCCGGAGAAGGGACACTGTCAACGTAAACGAGGCAGAGACCCATCCCAGGGCCATGCCTCCTCCTCACCTCGGAGAAGAACTCATCCATGAACCCCGCGTTCTCGATAGCGATCTCCACATCGTCGGCATCGTCATCCTGGTCCTGCTTCTGTAAGGGAGGGCAAGGCCAGTGAGAGGGTTAGGGGACCTACCCAGAGCCAGCACACCCACACCAGGTTTCCCGGCACATAGGAGAAACCCCTCACGGCCTACCCCCTGGGTGCAAAAGGCCATCTCACCAGTGCCCCGATTTCCACTCCCTACACCCAGCAGCCACCATGCCAATGCAGCACCATTGGGAAGCCAGGCATGCGACTCTGGGAGTCACCCTCACTCAGAACAATGAGGAGGGTGGGTCCTGGCCTGGAAAAGATTGGGATCCATCAAACTAATCTAAAGTGAAGGATCATCCTTCCTGGAGATGCTTCCCTCTCTTCCTCCTGCGGCGGCTGCTACAAGTATTCAAACATCAGTGGGCTTTTCTGTAACATCTGTGTTGGGACTGGGTCCAGACTGACCCCCTGGAGACAGCTATCTTTGGTTCCTTCCCACAACCGGTGCATCATGAGTGGTGGCTCTGCCGACTTTCCCCACACCATTCACCGCCAGCATGCCTCAGCCCAGATCTAGAAGGACCCCACTTAGGGGAAGTGGGGAGCTCAGCCTCCATGACCTATCAATTTGTGGGATCTCTGCTGAGACCGATGACAAGGGAGCCAGCTAGTACTAGTGGAGGTCACTGGTTTTATACTTTGTCGTCTAGGGACAAGTCAGAGGAAAGACCAACTCATCTCATATGGGCTACTAAAAATACCAGCCATCAGAAGGCGACTCAGTGCCAGGCACATGGGATTAATCTGGAGTAACTGCATGACTTCATTGGAGACACTCCCGATTTACCCTGGTGGGACTGCGATCCAAATCCCAGCTCAGCCACACTTGGGGACGCAGAAGTCCAGGAGCTTTGTGGAAACGGTTACTGCTGCTAATGGGGATGTGGTGAAGAGGCACCAGGAATTTGGGGTGGGATGGTAAAGAGGGAGTGGAGGAGGTAGAAGATGTATTGTGGGTAGCTAGTAAAAAGGCAGGGTTCATAGTGAAGGGGTCTGGCCCCTATTTTAAATTTCCCTGGGGGGAAGTGGCCCTCACCACACTCCCCTCCCATTCAGAGCAGAAATAGGATTATTTTACGGTTAAGACAGTGTTTTCTCCCAGCCCACAGCAATGATGCAACAGCCCTTCACATCATCACAACATCAGCTAAACCACCTGCCCTTCAGCCCCACCTGCTCTGTCAGCCCATCTCAGGAGCGAGCCCAGGTTACAAGCACACTGGCCTTAGGACACTCTCTGGAGGTCAACAAAGTCAGTCTGTTTTGGCTAAGCAAATGTCCAGTGCCTGCTGAAAGCGTCTGGCTTTCCCGTGTCCTGCTGCTTACGTAGCCAGCCATGCTGCTTCCAATCAATTTCCACCAGGGAAAATCCCGGGTAACACCAATGAAATCACTGCAGTTATTCCAAACTCACTCTGATGTTAGTGAGAACAGAATCCAGCTCTTCCACTCAGATCCATTGGTCTATTACACCCACTATGCACTAATGTAAATAGCTTTGCAACATGCACCAATGACTGATGTGGGGCAATGCATGATGGGATAACCCACCCCACCCCAGGATCTGCCTCAAGTACCCCTTACATGCATATCTAGGTACCATCAGCAGAAACAGCCCTCTGATCTCAGCTGCTGACACAAAGTATCAGCAAAGGAGCTCCCTCACTCAGCCAGGATCCACAGCATACAGGGTTGGAGATCAAAGTCAACCCCTTGAATTGCACCTGGAGGCAGGTCAAAAGCTAGCATCATCTACACAGAGCAGGGGATACACCCTGTACCATCTGCATTGCTCACTAAATGAGCAACTGCCTTTCTGCCCTAGCTGAAGCTCACACATGGCCTCCAAAGACAGCTCCAGGTTGTGCTCAGTGCAGTGATCAGAGAGAGGTTCCCAAGGCATCACTGACTGCAGGGAGCTCCACATCAGAGAGGGCAGTTTGCAGAGTCCTAGCCAAATGCAGAGGTTGAAGGCACTCCTGCCACCCAAGACTCTATAGGGTGTGAATCTCACTTGCAAAGCAGTGCAGTACAGAGTGAGACTATCTCCCCTGTAAGTTCTCTAGATGGTTCCTTTCACCAGCAACCAGCATCACTTTCAGCTTGCCCAGACTAAGCGTTAGCCATCTCAGCCAGGCACTGGGAAGTTAGAGCCAACATGATTGGAGCCTGCTGAGCCGCAGAGGAGAGGGTCATCAGCACAATGACAGCAACCTAAAATATAGCAGTCCTTCCTAGCAGCCTTCCCAATGTGTGGAGCAAGAGGAACCACATGTGAGGGAGCCTTCAGTATCACCCTCTGAGATCTCCCCAAGAGGAAGAAACAGCCATCCAAACAACTCCACCAATGCTGGCTGCGGTCTGTGGGGGAGGGAAGACCCAGCTCCACAGGGATCAACATGAAACTAGGGAAATACAACCTAGATGGAGCTACTATAAGGTAGTGCATAACTGGTTGGAAAACCATTCCCGGAGAGTAATTATCAGTGGTTCACAGTCAAAATGGAAGGGCATATCGAGTGGGGTCCTGCAGGGATAAGTTCTGGGTCTGGTTCTGTTCAATATTTTCATCAATGATTTAGATAATGGCATAGACAGTACCCTCTATGTGGATGATACCAAACTGGGAAGGATTGCAAGTGCTTTGGAGGATAGGATTAAAATTCAAAATGATCTGGACAAACTGGAGAAACAGTCTGAAGTAAATAGGATGAAATTCAATAAGGACAAATGCAAAGTACTCCATTTAGGAAGGAACAATCAGTTGCACACATACAAAATGGGAAATGACTGCCTAGGAAGGAGTACTGTGGAAAGGGATCTGGGGGTCATAGTGGACCATAAGCTAAATATGAGTCAAAGATGTAACCCTGTTGCAAAACAAGCAAACATCATTCTGGGATATACTAGCAGGAGTATTGTAAGCAAAACACAAGAAGCAATTCTTCCATTCTACTCCGTACTGATAGTACTCTAGTTGAGGCTCTGTGTCTAGTTCTGGGTGCCACACTTCAGGAAAGTTGTGAACAAATTGGAGAAAGTCCAGAAAAGAGCAATAAAAACATTTAAAGGTCTAGAAAACATGACCTGTGAGGACATGATAACAGTTTTCAAGTACCTAAAAGGTTGCTTCAAGGAGGAGGGAGAAAAGTTATTCTTGTTAATCTCTTGAGGATTGGACAAGAAGCAATGGGCTTAAATTGCAGCAAGGGAGGTTTAGGTTGGACATTAGGAAAAACTTCCTAACAGTCAGGGTAATTAAGCACTGGAATAAATTGCCTAGGGAGGTTGTAGAATCTCACTCATTGGGGATTTTTAAAAGACAGTTAGACAAACCCATCAGGGATGGTCTAGATAATAGTTAGTCCTGCCATGAGTGCAGGGGACTGGACTATATGACCTCTCAAGGTCCCTTCCAGTCCTATGATTCTATGAATGCCTCACCTCTGTCCATCGTCAAGGAACCAATCAGGGAAATTTGTGCTTGCCTCCGAGTGTCTCTAGGCCAACAAACCAGACCAAGAGGCCACAAAGCAGTCTGAACCCTCCACCACATCACCATAGCAATTCTGGCACTTCTTCTCAATACTCCCCTCTCCCCATACTCCCATAAAAAAAAGCTTAAGGAGTAAAGGTGTTTTACTAAGCAACAGCCTTGCTCCCCGTTTATGGGAATATGGCTCCTTGTCCTCTTCCACAGAGGCACAGATGACCCGTGCCATTAATGACCCCCAGGAGATCCCCAGTTGTTTTTGCTGCATGTGACAGAGACGGGGCCACCTCACAGGTTATAGGATGCTGCTCTGCCACAGCCGGAGGGAGGAAAACCGGCTGGAATGCAACCAAATGCTGCGCTTGTCTCCTGATGTGGCTACGCTACCACCGATCCGTCCATTCTGAGTGTTTCCTTGCACTGGAGGGCAGTTGCTGCTGTTGACCCCTGATCCAAGAGGAGGTGGCTCAGATTTACCTGGATGTCAACCATTGGCTGGGGCCTGGGGTGGAGTCAGAGAAGAAAGCTTTCTGAGCCTCCACCACAGCCAGAGCACAGGACTTGAGGCTTCACAGTAGGATGACAACTCCCCTCCATCTGTCCCAGGTCATCTGTATAACCCAGGTGACCTGCGAGGATGGTGCAAAGAGGGGATCCTTAGCAGCCATCAGCCAGTGGTCAAGGATGTCTGACCAGGCCATCAACAGAAGGAGCCACAGTATTAATTCTTAAAAACTGCAGCAGTAGCAACCTAGCTCTCATCGCTGTAGTATCTGAGCCCTGCACAACCCCCTTGTATCTTCACTTTACAGATGTTCAGGGGGCTGGAGATGCGGCGCAACAAGGAAAGATTGAGACACGAATATGTACATGTAACACGCACCCACTTTGCTACAGCCTTGGCTAACAGAGGTGGATCTTTTGGCTCAGATGCCCAGAGGTGCATGTGTGAAGATCCAGGACCCAGGCTCAATCCCCTCAGCTGATACACCCATCACACACAAGGGTGTGGTGTTACATACAGCTCGACTATGAGATGTGGAAGGCACGGTGATGGTGAACAGGCTGTAAACATCTGAAGGATGTAAATGCCAGTGAGAGAGAGGAATCATAACTAGATCTAAGGGGATGAAAGCAAGAAAAGGAACATTGGGAATGAATGTCAGAGAGCCTCCCTGATAAGGGACTCTGAAATTGATTCCCAAGGGGAATGATGGGAGCCCTGACTCTCGGGACATCTAAAATTAGACGGAGCCGAGCGCTAGGAAAGGTCGAGATGGGCCCAGTGGACACAGCCCTTCCTGCCATATTTTAGCTGGCATTTTCCAGCTGGAATGTCTCTGATTCTAGCAGTTTCTAGTCACTCTTGACCTGGGGCTAGATAGGATTCAGTGACCTAGAAGTAAGAGGCTCCTGCTCTCTCCCACATCCTCAAGCCCCGGAGCTGTGCGCTCCCTGCAGCTTCCAAGAGGTTTCAAACAAACCCTGTTCGGTTGCCGCAGG